ATGAACCTGATTAAAAGACTTTTATCTCTTTGTTCACTGGAGTGACCTACGAGGCTGCAACCGGAATCATTAACAAAGGTACAGAATTTCACCACTGATCTGAAAACTATTGCACTCTAAAATCGCTCATCCTAGACAAAGAACCTTTATGCATGAGCGATTTTAGAGTGCAATAGTTTTCAGATCAGTGGTGAAATTCTGTACCTTTGTTAATGATTATCATTAACAAAGTCATTTATCACAATGGTCTCAAAATTATTATTCGGCATGAACCATTACCTATTATTGCTGCAGGCCCTATTACCCATTTTCTTTAGGATATCTAATTAAGGTTAGACTAATACAATAGTACTAGGGTTGTCAGTGCTAAACTATCCCGCTTTCTAATTGGTCAAGCAAAGTGAAATTTGAAGTAAATATTATTAAAAATTTTTATGAAATGTTTGGTATAAATAATTTTTTATTTTAAATGCCAGAAAAGCAATAAGATAAATTCTGGGCTTCCTAAAGATATTTCTAACATTTTATTGATTAAAAGAATTGATCATTTACAAAATGAATATTATAGTTGATTATACAGCAGTTTAAGTAGAGTAACCACCAGTCTTTTATCATAATGGAAACTATTGTAATTATGTTGTTATATAATCAAAAGTTTTTTTTAATTAATTCTAGGATGAATTAACGAATTCTAGAACGAAATCGAAATGCTAGGTAATAAATAAATAAATTTATTATCACCGTATTCATTCGTGTATTTTCCGCTCTTTTAATATTAATTTAACCGCTCGAAAACCAGCAGGGAAGAAACATAATATGTACACTATTTCTAAACAGACGGCTTAAATGATAAACATAGCACATTAAAAAGCTCACATAAAGACATAGTATATTACGCATGTTACGCATTTCAGTGAAATTAGAAATTTCAATAACGCTCTTTTCACTTACACAGAGTAGTTTTTTTATTTATTCATACATTTTACATTGCTACCATAAATCAGAATTTTCTAAATCACATACTAAAAAAACTAAGGAGGAAAATTCCTCGCAACGAAAGGAATATGCGAATAATTACAACATTTATGAAAAATTTTTCAAGGTAAATATTATTAAGTACCATGCCATAAAATTCTTTTCATATCACTTTCAACATAAGTAATATAAGAAAAGATCTCGCCAGTTAGTCTGCAGCTGTCTGTTGCCGTAGAAACGAAGCTTGACCCATTTTCCGTAGGGGTGTCTTGAAGACGAATGATAACTCTTTTCCCTTCAGCCAGCAGTCCCCAAAAACAAAATAACAATAAAGCAACCCTTGGTTCGCCCTTATTTGAAATATACTAGCCCTGTTGCTATTGCGATCACCACCAGCTAGACACTGCATCACTCATATGTCTGTGAAGCATTTTAAAATTTGTATGAGTTAAATTACGCAACCAATACTAATGAAATTTTAAAAATAAAGGCTTTAAAAAAAATTTAAATCTTTATTTTAAAAGATAAAAAATAGCATGAATTAGCACAAACATTAGCATAAATTTAAAAAAAGAAAATTCTTGTCTTAAAAAAATTGAAATGATTATTCAGCGTTTAATGAACTGAATTTTAATTTATATTGGCCTTATTTGGCGATTTTATCTTTCACTTAGGTACTTACTTCAGTTTGAAAAATTCCTTTATCATATTGATCGATTTGTTGATGATAATAAGGGAAGTATTTTATACGTTTTCGTACACAAATGAACAGGACCGGTAGTTCGAATGATATTAACTGTCACATTAAGCGATGCAGCGGTATTAAGTCTTTTTCATTTGCTGAATAATTTAAAACAGCACAATATATGAAAAGTGCAGTGCCTTACTGTCAGTTATGTGAATGCATTCAGACTAGCCAGTCAATACGAATGGTCCAGTACTATCTGTCTACGAGAAGGCCAGCACCCGCCGCAGTGTCTAGCTGGTGGTGATCGCAATAGCAACAGGGCTAGTATATTTCAAATAAGGGCGAACCAAGGGTTGCTTTATTGTTATTTTGTTTTTGGGGACTGCTGGCTGAAGGGAAAAGAGTTATCATTCGTCTTCAAGACACCCCTACGGAAAATGGGTCAAGCTTCGTTTCTACGGCAACAGACAGCTGCAGACTAACTGGCGAGATCTTTTCTTATGACAGACAAACTGTAGTCAAGATCTTTGAATACTGGAAATTCAATTTCCGGATAAACGGATTGGCTGCATGATTGTTTTTTATGCTACCCCACCTTCAAACAACCACTGGGTGGTCTAACAATCTCAGCTGTGGATGTTTAAAAAACATGAACCTGGGGTTTCTGTAACCACTGGGAGAGGGGTAAACTACTGGGCTTACTTCCGGTTCAACGGTTGGGCTACAGGGCAGTCGGTGTTAAAACCCGGTATTGCAATCGGAAATTTGATGACCAATAATTATGCAGATTCGGGAGCTCCTCTCTACGTCCCTCGGGGTGTGCTTAACAGATGCAAAAAGTCCTGGTGTGATGGGGCAAGGTAATGCGGCAAGTTTGACAAAATGACCCCTTTCAGATGAGCTTCAAGGTGCGAGTCTTCTCCCGCCAGATACAGAAAGAGTGACGAAGATGTGCCAAAGTGATCTAATGGCGGAACTCGTACACATTTACTTCCTTAAGCAGGTATTCCAAGTGAGCTTTTCAATTTTCAGTTAATCTAATATACTATAGCATTTAGAATAGCCTACGAAATCCTGTAGAAACTGTAAACGCTTTGTTCTAAACTGATGAATTGCATGATCACTAATCTACTTCTAGAAAAATTATGCCTAAGCAAAAAAATTAATTGTACGCAATAATTTGCAAAATTAAATGTGCGTAGCTGGATAACCTAATACATTTGAACTTAAAACAACTTGTAAATTTAAGGTTCTGTTAAGAAATTTTTTAAGTTCTATTTCATTTAATAAATATCGAGACCTCAAGCACTATTTAAAATATCATTTACTTTACTCCGAAATAAAACCTGAGCAAATATTATTTTATCGTTTATAAAACATTCCTCCCGTTTAGAAACAGAGAAAGGTTATAACGTTTAATACATTATTTTCAACAAAAGTTTTATCATTCTTGTAGTAATAATAACAAAACTGTGCATCATCAATTCTGTTGATAAATATTGTTAATATTTATAATATAGTAATACAAATTTAAAAAATTCTACATTTTATATATTCCTTTTTAGGAGAAGTACATGCAAGAAAAACATAATTAAGTATTAGTAAATAAACATATCATTTATTTAAATTTAAAAACCTTAATCCTTTTGTTCTCATTCAACTTACATTTTGTGTAACTCTTTATTTCCTATGGACTTCATTTCCTTAATGAAGCGAAAAATGCAATTTTTTCTAAAGAAATTTCAGAAAAATAGCATTTCCTTATTTCATCTCTAAGAAAACGACGCTGTGCATTTTAATCTCTTAATCCCTATCTAGTAGTAAGAACATTATTTTCTCTGATGAATAGCATGCATGGATTAACAATGTGTAAACATTATTAGAAATTTAACTTGGCTCCTATCGAAATATTCTGCATCATATATTCCTAAATAATCAGAATACATGCCAAATGCATGGATTTTTTGGGGGGGGGGAGTGTTATTTTTTAATGTATATTTTATTATTATTAAACTATATTAATGATGTTTATGAACTGAAATTTAAGTAACGAAACGATTTGACATGTTTGCAAAATAGAAAACCGAAACGAAATTTCACGCTGCTTACATATATACACTTTTTCGAAAAAAAGGAAAAAAAAAGAAAGAAAGAAAAAGAAAAAAAAAAGTGTTCTAAAAAATAATGCGGTCATCTCGACATTTCATATGCAAACTCTTTCATACCAACTATGCAAATGATTCAACTTTTAAAGCCATTGAGTGCTAATTTCGGTCATAGCCCGCGTTTCTAATGTGAAACTAGTATCCTTTAAAACAGGGGATAGTAGCGGACAGTTAATTTTTCCCCGTTGTTTTTCGGGCTGCAGTTCTCGGAAGACACAAACAATAATGCAGTTACGACGTTGTTGAAGACTTTATAGACAACTGGACGACTTCGAAAGTGAAACCTGCATGTATATATGTATATAACCTGTCGCACAGTATGGAAGCAAGCAGGCTGTTCATATCGAGCAATAAGTCGCCACGTGTACAGTAGTGACACGACTGGGCAAAGGTTCTATCAACAGTGGTTTCTGCAAGGCTCTGGAAGGTGAAATCAAGGCTTTGGAAGGCGAAAGTGAACAAATTCGAGCCAAGATAGGATGACTGTGAAACAAATAAGATATTGGCTCATACAGTTCATTCATAGTGCTAGACTCATACAGTTCGCATATCTCCCAACTATTGATGGCCAGCAAGGTCACCACACCTTTCACCAATCAAGCATGTATGGGAAATGGTAGGCCACCAGATTCAGGTACCCCCAAAATGCCGCAAATCTGTAGCAACAGGTGAGGATTGTCTAGCAGAATATATCGCTGGATGAGATTAAGAATTTTTATCATTCCTTACCTGAACGTTTACAAACATGCATCGTCGTCGAGGGGGATTGAGCAGTTACTGATTTGAACATTCATTGTGCAACTATTAGCCACTGATTAATCCTATGAACTTGAATTTTTAATCATTTCATTACCTGTATATCCGCTTTGCGCATATTTAATTTAAAAAAAAATAGTCACTTTTTCATGATCCTTGTTCTTCCTTCCCCCCCCCTTTTTTTTTTGAAAAAAGCATGTATATTTATGTGTGTATGTGTATACTATAATTTTCAATAAAGAGAATATTTTATGTTCTTTTTGTAGCATACTCTTAAAAAGTCTTATTTCTTACATCAAATAGAAAACTTCAATATTATTACAATTCTATGCCACTGTATAACTGTATATCAAAAAGCACAGAACTGGCTAATCATTTCATAATTATAGCAAACTTCAATCTGATGAAAAAAGATGAACTTACCATAAAAAAACGGAATAGAATACGGTACTCTTCCTTCTGGCCATTTAAGGTTCTCATTCCGAATAGCATTCAACCCCTAAATATGTTACATAAGTATTATTAAGCAAATACAATTTCAATGATAAGAACTTCATTTATCAATAATCTGTTTGCAGAGAGATTAAGTAATTTATCGGAATAGGAATAGGGGAATACGAAAAATCAGCGAGCTCTTCTCGGAGCTTTTGAGTTTTTACTTTCAATTACACTTCGAAGGCACGCTGTTATAGCAGAAAATTCCTTACATTTTTCCCACTTAAAGGGCAGCTAGGGAGTAGGGGACCCAGTCGTTAAATCCAGGTGGATATGGACTATCATCTACCTCATTTTAATTCAGGCGCCATTTGTAGCGATTTTGATTTTTTAGAGCCGGGAAACATAAGAAATCAGCGATTTCCTCGGTGGTTTGAACTTCGGACTTCCCGAGCTAAGTAGAACGTACGTCCAGTTACACCACGAAAGCACGCGATAAAGAAAAAGAAAATTTCCGACATGCTAGAACAAAACATTGAAACACTGAACAAATTGTAATTTCTTTATCCTGCAATTAAAATTACTTCATTTTTTTTTGCAGTTTCTATACTGATGCATGTCACGATAGCTCATTTTTAGATGCTTGCGAGTGTCAAGGTTAAAAAAAAAGGAGAATATTGCGTTTAAAGGAATATTTCTCATTTTCTTCACACAAGCAATATTTTCTTATCTCCTGCTTTAAGCAGGAGTAGGCTGAGCAGTGATCGCGAAGCAATTTTAAAATGCCCACCCCTCAAATTTCTAAATTCTAAATTTCAGACATTTTGATAATAAGAACTCGTAACTGTAATGAATAATTTGTAGTGCAAATTTGTATTTTATCTTCCCCATTTGAACACTTTAACAAATCAAACACGTAAATTTTTGGCAGAAACTGAATCTTATCCTCACCTTGATAAAAAAAAACTGATTATAAATACCATTTTTCAGCTCCTAGAAAAATTTAATTTTGCATACAATGATTTGTATTCTGTCTCCATTATCCTCGTATATTATGCCCAGTTCATACATAAACTTCTCATTTAATGAACTTGTATTTTCAGTTGCAAACAGAGAAGGTATTCTTCTCTTCAAATTAAAAATATAACGAAAATATGCAGGTAACGTTGGCTTTTGCAACGAACGTCACTAAGAAATTAACTGCATTTTAGCTGATTATTGTATGTCAACAACTTATTTCAGTTGCACAACAACAGCAATTAGTAGCTTTCTTGCTTGCCTAACGGCATTTATAAACAGCGTGCTATAGCAACATTTTTTTCATAACCATTTTCGGAATAAGAATACAAATTGCTAAAACATTATTACTCTTGCAATCCACGTGCATTTATTTTGATATAATTAAATACATATTTTTACTATGTTTATGTATATATTTCTATTTAATATATATTTTTATTATTATTATAGACGCTGCAAATTGGCCATTGAACTTCCGCATTTCTGAAATATGCCTTCTTAATAAAACAAGTGTCGAACCCTGCTTTAGAAAATAATCAAAAAGGTTTCGTTCTTCAGTAAATATAAAATTGTAAAATGAGTTTTTATTATTATATTATGATATTATAATGTAACTCACAGTACCTATTTTAATAATAATAAACATTGAATCAATTGCATTGCGTGATGTAATTTAATTACTGCATAGCATGTCGTTTTCGACGAAACACCAGCAAATTATTCACACTGATATTGGGCCATCCAATGCTTCGCAACATTTTGTTGGGAAGTTGTTGAACATTTGTTGAACATTTGTTGGAATCCAATGTTTCCCAACATTGGGTAGTTTTGGCTACATTCTGCATAATGTCGGCAGCCGTTCTTTGTAGAGCTGCTACCACATGGCTTTGGTTGAATCGATCCAAGCTTACTGATGTCCGTTTAGATACCTTAGTGCACATAGCAAGTCGTATTCTTTCCTTCAATCCTTCTTCTCAATTTTTTTGTAGAGTGGACGCCTGTAAGTGTGTTTCAGCTACCATGTGATGGAAGGACCAGCTAACAATTCATAGGCCTAAAACGAAACCTCTTGTGAACATGTCGAATTACCAAAACTGGCTTCGGTGTCGCTTACCGAGCATCTTTTCGATCACGCTCTCCTGAAGACTCCTGAAGACCGAAACAATTCAAAAAATTTCGAGGATTTCCCATGTGACGACTCAGAGTACTAAATGCTTGACTCATCTGTCGCGTCTTTCCTTTTTATCTTGCTAATTTAAGGCGAGACAAACTTGCATTGCACAAACTTGGCGAGACAAATTTATATTGCACAAACTTGCACTGCACAAATTGGCGAGACAAACTTGCATTTTCACTTGTTTAAAATTTCTCACCACTGAGCTAGAAACTTGCTTTTGAATGTTAGTCTTCCCATGCTTATTGTGATTAAACTCTGAAATACTGAGGAATAAAGGAGGCAGTTTTGATGACCTACTCAGAAATACATTTAGAAATGTAAGCAGTCTTTAGAATACTCTATGATCTATTAAAATCTAAAGAAAATATTTTGTGGGGAAGTTATTTTATAAATTTGTGTGTACTTTAAAAAGTCATAAAAGTCTGCAAAACAGTGTATGAGAGTACAGTATGCACATAAATTATCATCACAGAAGCAGAAATGTTTTGAGTAGAGGGACATACTAGTGAATATAAGATCATATATTTTACTTCCCATTTTCAATGAAAAAAATCATGCATCGTAATACCGAGAAAAATTGCAAATTCAAATCTTTTAAAAGTTCAGGTGCGATTTAGAGCTCATGACAGACATTTTTCTTTTCGCCAAACTGTACCTATTTAAGAACGCTCTAAGTGCGTTCTGATAGGCTAACAGGTTGATTTTGTATGCTATTTCGAAAGTGTCCAAATTTACGGGGAATCCTGTATTTGAAAAATCTTGTCATGAAAATTCCTTTAATCAGTATATTTCACAATACGACAAATGCCAAATTTATTATCATAAAAATAGATAAAATTTTCTCAAGTATCACTGTTAATTTTATAACTCACCTGAAAAGGAGTAAGTAAGATATCGCCTTCGAATTGCCCAGATGTTTCTATAGGATCAACATGTTCCTCATTTGGAGGAGGAGGCATGTAGTTCAATATTCCTAGAATGTTTTTTAAAAAAATAATTATAATAGAGTAAGAGCTAAAACCTTTCTCAGCTGTATTTTTAACTAACATATGTATTTAGTTTTGAAAGGCTGTTAGCATAATTTCTAATTAATTGCATTAATTATTACAGTTAAGCATACAAGTGGGCATGTTTAAGATTTAATCCCCTAGTATTATTAATTAAACTAATAATTACATTATAACAACAGATATGTATTTGCTGTTTAAAGTTTTTGTATTTGTTCTGCAACGCTAGTACATCATCTGCGAGAATCGTCTGCGAATCTATCTGCGCAGTCGCAAAGTGTTACCATAGTTACCCAGTTTTTTCTTTACTGTTGTTATTGTTAAAAATAAATAAAAGTAGTTGTTCTAAAAGATTGAAGTTGTGTTTAAATGCTTATTTGGACTACGTTTTTTATATATTGCAATTCCCAATAATGCATCTGCTATATTATAAATGAATGTTTAATAAAAAATACAAATAAACGACTTTGGGGCTTTGGCAGGTATTGAGTTCAATTTACAATTTTTTTAAACCTTTTAGTGTTCCTATTACTTTATGATACTTTTATATTATTTTATTCAATATTTATTTTTAAATATGTTGATATGTTAATTGAATGAATGGTTACGTTAGGTTAATCAGGTCAAGCACAGATGGATTATCTGTCTAAGATGATAACTGAAGAATGTTAAACAGTACAAAATTTTAATCCTGAAATTTTTTTATGATCTGATGACGCAGCATGCATTGCAAATTTTTTTATTTAAATTAATCAGTTACTTATGATTTAGATCTTTATTATCAATTTTCACTTCTGTTTACCTAACACAGCGCAAATTAATTGTCAGTATTTGAGTTTGTTAAATTCTAAGATAGAGCACTTTTCTGCCCCTCGATACTACATTACTAGGTTTTTGTTGCCTCAGTTAAGATTCTATTCTTCGACTTCGCATTATAGCGCTGACATTTTAATACTCGTGCCGATCAGATTTGTGAGTCAACTTCGCGATATACTGAATTCTGTAGTCTTTGACTACTAGCTTAATTTCAAATTCGAACTTAATGTTACTTTAAGTTACATCACCACAAATGGTTGGCTGATTTATAAGCCCGAATCTTGCAATTCTATTCTATTTCTATTTTAATAAAAACATTTGTTTTAAAACCTTTTTAAGACTCTAGTTTTGTCTGGGAATAGCGATAATTCGCTTAACTTCTGTTAGGAGTTCGATACTAGTTTATGTTCCCAAAGCAAGTCAAACTTTATAACACATTAGCTAGAAAAATTTAAAAAACAATTATAAAAAAGCCCTTTATGTTAGTTCCATAAAGTGACGTCTAATGAAATGGTAATTGATTGACAGCTGAAAGTCGACATACAGTTAAATCAATGGGATTCACGTGCGTTACAAAGAAATTATAAATCTTTGCTCCCTCAATTTCAGATGGTGTATGAAAAAGTAAAAAGATGGTTATTCGAATTCTAATTTCAGCGAATAATAAGGAGTAGCTGGATAAAATTTCAAAAATTCGCATGTAGGAGGTTGAACATGTAGCTGAGAAGACATTTGATGGATTGTGAGAAATAGCAAGAGACTGGGGAAATGGAAACTGGACAGACTTCAAAGTCTTTACAGAAACATCTGTAAAGACTTTGAAGTGTCCAAAAAATCATGTCAAGAATCGGAAAATGGGGGTGATGTATGTTGGCACTGGTGATGATGTACAGAACCAGTTGGAGATCCAAAAAGTGCTACAACCCATTCTTTTTCGGTTTTCAGGCGGTTTTTTACAACGATTGTTAACAAAATACAGTTGACTTCAGCCCAGAATGCAAAGGAGTTCATTTCAACTACAAGAACCCGAATATCTAGATACATCCTAAGTGACAGATTGCATAAAGGAGGGCTGTATGCAAACAATGCAAATAAAGCCATTATTTGTATCCAACTAGTCGGGCTGTGATATGCGCCCAGTTGCAGTGGTATAGAAATCTTGGTTGGAGTATTAGGGAGTGAAGCAGAGTGCTCTAAATCAGCGGTTCTCAACCTTTTGACTAACGCATACCATCTAAACAAAAATTGAAAATCTTTAGTCCTACCACTACATTTAACAATGATTATTTTTTAATTTCTCAATAGAAATATTTTAAAAAAATATATTTTGCCATTTGCATAACCTATTGGTTATTTGTATGAAATATGCACGCATAAAAATATTAGATTATAGATTAGTTATTGTTTTGATCATCAAAATTCAAGTTATAATACTTTATTTCTAAAATTTAGAATGAAATGTGGGTCTGTTTAAGAGAGATTGATTTCTTTATGTCTGGTCTTATTTCACTTAGCTTTAACCGTAAATTAAGATCCACTTATAATATTTTTCTGCGTTAATTAATTTTTAAACATAACAAGGAAAAAATTCTTGTTCAAACAAATAGGTTGTGCAAAAAGGCAATTAAAATTTATTTAATAGCGTTATTTGAAATGCTTTTAAATTCTTTTTTTTCGGTTCAGCCAAAAGTTAACAAATATGTTATTACTGAAATCTTCAGTTATAGTTCGATCACAGGAAATTTCTATCAGTTGTTCTTTTTCTTCATGAGATTTTTGAATTTAATAGTTAAAAATACTTTGTGTCTTTGCGCCCCACCTACTTTTCTCTTGCTTACCACTAGTCGTACGCATACCACGGGTTGAGAATCACTGCTCTAACTGATAAAGCTCTTTTGGGGGGGAGGCAGAGTAATTCCAGATACGTTACAATCTGCAGGAAACAAAGCAAATGCAATAAGTCTGAAAACATTTGTGAAAGGAATCGTTTAAAAGATGATGAAACCAAAATACAGGCGGGCAATAATTTGAGTGGTTGCTGTGACCTATACTTTTTTACCAGTGTAACTATGAATGTTAAAATATACAGAGATGAAATTCTTCTTTCTTATATCAAGTCCTTTAAGGGTGCAGTCCATAACAAATTCCGCCTAATCGCGATAATGGTTGTCCTCATCGCACTTGAAAAATGACGAATATATATTGAGGGCTAAGTTGTCCAACGGAAGGAATGAACTTAATACCCATCAAATTTAAGTACACAATATGAACCGACAAGGCTGTTAATTTGCACCACTTCACTTAATATTCCGTAGGGATTTCAAGGCGTTTTTAATTATTAGTATACTGTGTCAGCACTTCAGCGTGAAAAAATACTGTTCACATAGAAATGTATTACCAAAGAATGTGATTATGCTTAGGGCGTAAAATCCATGATTGTAAGGTTTTTTTTTTTTTTTTTTTTTTTTTTTTTACAAATACGTATAAATGTTAATTTAATTTGTATCACCAAATCTTTCAGTAAGAGTTATATCACATTATAAAATAATTACCTCTTTCTATAGATTTTTGAGTGCGATATTCAGGTTCGTTTTTAGTTTTAATGATAATAACAGAAATTTGGACATCAAATAACTAAAATCTTGAAATCTTCGTAACACCGTATTTGCAACATATGTATAACTGAAATGTATTTCTGGGCTGCATAAAATTGGTTCGGGAGGCACATGCGGCCAGCGGGCCTACACTTTGAGACAACTGATCTAAAGAATAAAATAAGGAGTGTTAAAAGTAGCTATTCTATTAAAGAATCAGTCTTTGTAATTATTACTGTATATTTATTCTACAAACTAATGCTCCTTTCTTTAAAATAATGATTGATAACTTATTAAATGACCTACCCATTATTACTTTTACAAAGGATTGGATTTTTATTTTATAATTTGGGTATTATAAATTAATTCTTAAAAAAGTATTAAGTAGTGTAACACAGACAAGTTCGCATGAACAATTGGTAAACTGTTTAAGAGCATAAATGTAAAATACATAGAAAGAAATATTATTCTAATCTTTATTTATATCTGAAGTGTCAAATTTAATTACTAGTATTTCCATTTAAGAGAAAAAAGGTGTAGGGAAAGGAGTATATTTCTTTCACTTTTTTTTAAACATGTGTGAAACAAAACTAAAAAAAAACAAAAAAAAAACGAGTTACACCCTTTAATTCAAAAAACCTTCTTTGCCTTCATAAGCATTTGAAATGGCAAGCATAAGAACTTATTGAAAACATTCCTTTTTATTAATCATTTAAGTGAACACATTGCTAGGTATTTTTTCAACTGAATAAATCATTAAGTACATTTAATTAATTCTTTCTGTGGTACTCCTAGTTTCATTAAACTTCAAAAAATTGGTCAATTTCACATGGAAGTAAATTATGCAGATTTTTTCCTTCCTCTTTGCTCAAAGTTAATACTTTTTATGCATTCTGAAGAAGGGCAAAAAAATTCTTCAAAGATTTTTATTTATTATAGAACTTAAAAACGAGCTTTTTATAACAGCAATCGTTTAATTCTTGTCATAACTTTGGGGGAAATATTTTTTAACTTTTCTTTTTTTTTCCTATAAAATTACGCAAATTAAGAGATAGGATGATTCGTTAGAGAAGTCGCTTATATTTTCACATACTGAGAGAAACAGAGATTATAATAAACAAGTAAATTTTACTTACCGTGAAATTTGGAACTATTCAAATTCAAATCCTAGGAAAGAAAAGATAAAAATCTCTGCAGTTATATAAAGGAAATTTTATGTTTTAATAGTGTACTAAGCAATTATATAAAAGAACATTTACAGTATACAGTTATATAACAAATTTTGTGCCTTAATAATATACTAAGTAATTATGTCTGCTGAATGCAGATGATGGTAATATATACATTATTTAAACTGCAATGCAATAATTACAGCATAAAAGTTTAGTATTCGCTTTTTGATTTAATAGTAGCACTAATGAGAAATTTGACTTTACTTCTATTTTATAAACCTTATTCCCTTCTTAAAAATTAGTGTTATAATTAATCTAATTAAAAGTATTTATGTTTATTTTCTTTGATAGATTCTTCATACAGAACATAAATATTAAAAATTAAAATAATTTGAAGTTATGGCTTGTAATGTACGCTTGTATTTATTATATGTTTCGCATGGATATTTCTTCCGAATCTATGCATTAAAACATCTGTATCGTTAAATATAGAAATCTTGAAAAAAACATTTAATTTTAGTAGTTCAATCAGCTTTAGGTTCGCATTTTCAACATAGTTTACTCTTGTATTTGTCTACGTGCGTAATATTAGGTCAGAAATGAAGAGTTCCCCCTACTCTTGTTAGCTGCGATATTCCTATTACCCTGTATTAGTGACTAATCTTCAGTCTGTCACTTGAGTGATCTCAGAATAGGAATATTATTGCTCGCGATGGGATATAAACTTCTAGTCCTTCTACTAATTGGTAAAAACAACGTAGCTCTAAGGGCGAAATTTTGTATCTGCCAGTAAAACATTGCGCTTTTTCAAGTCTTTTAAACTGGTTTAACCCAGGATATTTCTAGAAAATGTTGCAAAAATTTTTTTCTGGATTTGATAACCATTTGGTAAGCGGAATTTATATTTGCTGATGTAATCAGCTGCAATGCTGAATCATTCGACTTGGATGACACAAACAGTTGTAAGTTTGTTAAACTATTATCGTCATTTGGACAACCTATCTTATTTAAAGTGTAACTTGTTACTTTTCTCTTATTATTCCTAAACAAATGATGAAACTAAATAACACTGAATCTTGAATAGAAATCGAAAGGTTTCCCAGATCTGTAGTTGAAATAATTTGCATTAAATGAAGAAATATAATTTGGGAATTATAAGGCTTTTACCATAAAAGTTTGAATAGATAAATCGGATACTCTTGTAAAATGATTTAATAAAGTGATTTGCATGAGATAAGTTTTAATACTTATCTCATTAAGTCATTTTATTTCCATAAGGTATAATAATAGTACAGTCGAACTCCGCTATACGAACCTCAAAGGACTTGACTTTTGATTCTCTCTATCCGATCCGATAAGAGGAATGAATTATTTAACAAAATCTCGGATAAAAAACTGAATGATAAATAAAGAAAAAATCCTGATCAACATCGCCTCATGTACCAAAATAAGTTAATAATAAATCTAATTTTAGAAATATATTGTCAAGTTTCTGCAATTATTTTCACGCGAAGTTATTAAATTATTAATAAAAATTAAATAATAAGCTAAATTTCTTTTCAGTTTTTTTCAAAGTGTCTGGAAAATTCATTTGTGTTTATATAAAGCATTTGTGCAACGTCATATTAAGAATTCTTTGAATGGCGAAGCATTTCTAAAACGCTTCTTCAGTTTCTTCTAAGCTCCACTTTCCTCAGCTTCCTTATCCTATTCAAGTTTTTTCTGCGAGCAAAAATTTTACAGTTTTGAGTTTTCCATACAGCACTAACTGTAGATTTTGATAAATTGTATTTCTGGCAGATACCGATTTGCCTGCGTACATTTTGCATTTTTCGAATAATATTCGCCTTCTCTTCAGTCCAGAAACTTTAAGTTTATTAGTTAGCCTTGCGGTTGAATTTTTGACGCAGAAACAGAATGTAGAGAAGTTGGTCAAACAATATGTGAGAATTTAGCTCTTTATGAGAGTATAAAAAGGAAAGATAATTTCATTACCTACGGGTCTTATCCAAAACTCCATAGAGAACAACACTATCATTTTCCTCAAGATATGTATAGTTTCACTGAAACAAAACAAACCTATGAGAATCAAAATTTTTTCATTCCCGAAAAAAAGAATCAATTGAAAATCCGCAAGCACACAATTCTCTACTTCCTTCTTACTTGAGCAACGAAATTCTCAAAATTTCCATCAAAGCATTAGCCTTGAATAGTATTTTGTCTGATAGCTCAAAAAAGAATTTGAATGGATTCAGCAAACCCATTCATGTTTTTTGTTTTGATGGTCATGTACAACATATGGTGTCCTAAGATATGCTTTTTGATTTCTGTCTTGTATAACCATATCTGCCTCGCATAACCTTTTTTAAAATGCAGAGAAAAGTGAGGTGTAAATAAAAGAAAAGTAGTATAAAGGCGTTTTCCTTCACGGAATGACTTGACTTCCTTGACTTGTGGGATGAGAAATGTATATCAAATGTGAATCCCAACATCCTAACCGTGAATGATTTTAATGGTTAATACTTCTTCGTTAAAACTTGCAGAAATTCAGAAAAAAAAATATGAAAATTACAAAAATGTTTCAATAGAAGATATCCATACAGTTCGTTATACTTGATTTACTTACTCTTGGAGATTTGCTGTAAGACTATAAAATAATATTAAGGATATAGGAAACTAAACGGGACCGAAAAATTCGTTTTTTACATATGGGGGTTTTGCTATTAGCCGTGTTTCAGAAAAATTCAAGGGTAGTAAATGAGCGTCGAAATGCAATTCATTAACAAAATAATAGCCTTTCTCAATTAAAAAAATACAGCTATTCGTGATTTAATAAAACTGATATTAAACAGCTCCAACCTTTGCAAGAAATAGTTACATTTTGAATCATATACAAAGGTGAAAACGTCACAGTCCCATCAATATTTTGATTTCACATTGGTGACAAACACTCATAACTAAATAACTTCAGAATTTATCCCTCTTACACATGTGTTAGTAATACTTTGCAACTAAGTTGAGGCCAATGAACTAGTGTGGCAACGTTAGTGGGTTATTTCACCAGTTCGTAGGCCTAACGTAGTTTTAATAACATGAGCTGATAACTAAAGCTTATTTAATGCCAGAATCAATAAAGCTCCTGCTGCTACAGTTAACTGCTTTTCAGATATCACTACACAACTTTCATACACCGGCTATGTATAATTCAAATACATTCCACCTATTCTACATGCTTTGTTAAATGAATATGCATTACATTTAAATGACAAATGTATTTTCATGAACTGCTGGTTAGTGTCAAAGGCCGTTAATAATATATATTCCTGAAATTATCCTGTTTCATGCTATATTAACAAATATTTATAATTTGATATGTTGAAATACGCACTTGTAATTCCATTAATGACTTATAACAACATCTATAAATAAATATGCACCATCAATTATGTAAATTTGGCATTTATTAACTCAAAATTTATAATAAGTTAATAAATCGAAGATATACTGCAATGTAATCAGCAAATTAAAAAAAGGAAATAAAAAATATAGAAAAATTAACTATAGCCTGGTAAAGCACTTCAAGATCTTCGCTGTTACCATCTCCCGCTGCTGCGTTCATAACTAGCGTAGTCATCACCGAATAGCATTTATTTTCTCCACTTCATTTGAGACTATAGTTCAAGTAAGCTTTCTCCGGCAGTTGTTGTTTCCATGGTTACGAATCAAACCCCCATGAAGCCACCCCGTTTACCAGGATCGAACCCATGTCGAAATTACCAGTATCCATGAGTATTTCTTCAAGTTAGTTTAGTTTAGCTTAATTTATGAGATTACTGCAAAGCCTCGAGGACTATCTGCCTAAGGGAAAGAATGCCTTCGTGGAGGACATTTCTAACTTGTACAGATGTTACACATGAGGAAAATCATGAAAACACCCATGCAACCAGCCCGTTCGCGGGATTTAACCCTCGATCCACACTATCAGTGTTCAGCGACTTCACCGTTCGGTCCGCTGGTTGGCCATGCAAGTTAGCATAACATATATGTTCTTCGATTTTACCTCTTGGCACATGCTGAGCTTCTCAAAACCTGAGCATTGGCGTTGTCTTTTTCTTAAAGCTCAAGACTTGCTTTAATGTACTTAATGCTTAACTTAGAATCATGCCTTTTAAATGAATGCGTTTTATTACGAAGGTAGAATTATTCATAGAAGTGAAAATTTTCTATTGCAAAAGAAACATGCCTGGTTAGAAATATGAAAAATCTTTGTTATATTGGTTAGAGACCAAAGGACAGTTCTGAAGCACAATGTTCTTTACAATATTTCAAAACTCATCGATTAATATTGTAAAAGGTCAAGATGTCGCCCTGATCGGTATAGTTGTTAAGAAGGCTAAAAGACCGCCGGATCCGTTCCCCAGGGATTTTCTTTCAAAACGGGAGGGAGTTTGTGAAAGTCGTACGTACTGTCACCCGTATAATACAATCTTCTCTCCTTCCCACAATGAAATTCTCCTTCCCACCATGAAGTTTGGTCAGGCAAATGAGATAAGCCCTAACAAGAATTTTTTTTACAATAAGTTACCAGCCGACAATCTACACTGGCTTCACATTCAGTTATAGACTCTTAGAATTTATTTTAGCATCCTAATTATTTTTTTTTTTCTAAGCGTCATTTTCAAGAAACCAAGAAAAACCAAAAATTGTAAATTTGCAATTTTTTTCCTGTTGTGTATGTTATTTTGTGGTCGGATGTCTTGCAAAGAAGTAAATCACAAATTAATTTTAAAGAAAGCACGCTGCCGTTAACAATGGATGAAATAAATACAGCGTCTAAGTCGACGCTAAACATTAAGCTGGAACATCTTGCGGAAGAAGACAAGAAATAAATAATCGGTGTCACAGAGGAATTTTCATATTTATTTAGGGATAAGTCTAAGCCTGGCCTAACAAGCATGCAATAAGCGATATTAGCAATAAGCGAAGTTTATTTAT